CAGCAATGTACAAAGAGAGCTTCCCAAAACCTGGAATTTATTTATTAAAAATTGTCTATTGATTCTTACATGTTTAAACTTCAGTCACTTTCCAAGTACTCTCTGTTCGATGCAATACACCTATTGAGATGCTTTTTCCACTGTTCAAAACAGTTTCTGAACTCATCAATTTTGATGTGTTTTAGTGCTTCTGCTGTTTTTTGGTTGCACCTCATAAGCAAAACATTTCCCATAAAGGAATCTTTTCATTGGGGAAACAGAAAAAGTCATTAGGGGTGGGATCAGGTGAAGAGGGAGGGTGGGGCAAAGGAATCATGCCATTTTGGGTCCAAAACTGCTAAAAACTCAGCATGGTGTGGGCAGATGCATTGTCATGGTGGAAGAACCAGTCACCTGTTTGTCACAACTCAGGACATTTCTTCCACAAATCTTGACATAACCTTATCAAAACTTCCAGATAAAAACTTCAGTTGACCATTTGATCCAGAGGAACAAATTCTGAGTGTACTACAAGGGCCCATCCACCAAAAGAAAACTCTGGGGTTTTCCTGGATCCCCACTCATATATGTCAGATTAACACCGGGCACACTGCAGGTGGCCAATAAATAGATCGTTATTCCTGACTCAGAACTGCTTGAACGACTAAACGAGGACAGAGGCAGAGGGCTAGGACACAGCTTCGGCGGGTATAGCAGGCACTAAATAAAAGCTGGGGACTTCCTCTTCACTCTGTTCCTCTCTTCTCTCTAGTGAGTCAGCTCATATTGGTGAGTCATCTTTCTCACCAATATTATCACAACAATATCCTGAACTAACCTTCATGTTTTGTAAGTGCATGCTCACCAATCCATCTCACTTGTCCTAAAGCATAAACCTGATCATATCAACTATCTGGCAAACTCCAATGACTCTTCATCACCTACAAGATAAAATGCATACTCTTCAGTAAGAACACCAGGCCCCTCTCAACCTTGACAGTTTTATCTCTTGGGATCCTCACCCCCAAAGAAATGCTCATGTCTAAACCACAATGTAGCCTATTTGTTGTTTCTCAATTGTACCATGCTCTCATGCTTCCAAACCTATCTAGAATGTTCTATCACTGATGAGGCCTCCTCATTCTTCAAAACATAGCTGAAACATCATCTTCTCTTCAAAGCATTTCCTGACCCTAGAATTTTCTTTAGTGTTCCAAAGGCCTTTCTTCACACAACATTCATGAATTGTATCCTAATTTTGCTGGCCTTGTTTCTAGCAGCTCCAGCCGAACTATGAAATCAGGCAAGGGATACGTTTTTTTTTTAATGTCAGTATTATTCCCAGTGCTTAGCACAGTTAGCTAAAAACATATTTATTTTAACATTATTTTTGTGATATAAGCTTAATATTGTTCCCATTAATATCAGCAATCTGGAAGGCTGAAAAACAAAACTGTCACTTACAGAAAGTATTTCTAGAAACTTTTTGAGATTAAAAAAAAAATCCAGTTAATTGCAAAACATCTCATAAAAATATTTTAAAATATCGAGATATATTTTGAGGTGTTCTTTTCGGAAAGGCATGCTTAATCTTGGCTGACTAAAACAGAAACAGCAGAAACTAGCTATATCATCTTTTTACCAATGAATTTTTAAAATTATTTCTCTACTTTCAAATGATTTAGGTCTTTTACAAAATAAAAGATTGTGCAAATTTACCTCACAAATCATCACAAAACTTAACTCTGTAGTTTATATAATCCACAACTACTACCTACAAAAATCCACATATGTACTTGATAAATAAATAATATAGAACTCAAAAATATCACTTTGGATAATATGTTCACTTAAAATTGAATCCATTCCTATTGGAGAAAGGTAAACAAATACTGTAGCATTTGGTATAAAAGGAAGAGCACTAATTCAGCTCTTTTTAAAAAATGTTAGAACATGTGATTTGTATTTTTTTAATTCCAAATATAACTCACTGTATTTAGCACCTTCTGTACTTTCCAGTATATTAGATAATTGCACACCAAGTTAAAAACAAAATAAAGGAAAACATTTCTGCCACCCACCTTTTTCATTAAAAAATGGAAATATTAAATACATACACAGAGTACCTTGTAAAGGTCAGCATGACTAGCTCAAAAAAGGTGTTTTTTCTTAACTTAAAGAATTTGAGGATTTAGGAGACTTGGGGAGAGAGGAAGGGAGAATCATGTGATTATTGGTTTTGGCAAGAAAGATGAGTTAGTAATTTTCAAATCCAGCACTGGAAAACCAAGTAGGTGTTTCAGTGGCTGTGGTTCCCAGCCCCCATATCAATCAGAGAAGTTCCTTTTTTTTTTGGTACATTTATACAGAGCTTCTGTAAAATATTTCATTTGAGCAAAAATGTCCGTAACTTTAAAAAGTCTGAGAATCACTAAGAAAGAGTAACCAATAATAATAATAATGTGTAAAATTGACATTAACACCTAATAAAAAGATATAAACAGAAGTGTTCAATATGGAAAAATGGCTTTTTAAAGTAGTAAAACATTAAGGAATAGGCAGGACTAACATTTGTAGTTTCTTTACCTTGATGAATAAGCATGTTCTTTTGCTTCTGATTAGTATTTTATTGGGTTACAGTTTGTCTAAGGAAGGGATGCAAGTTAAGCTTTTTCAATTTTGTTTCGGCAGAAAGACAGTAGATGATTTCAGCAGAGAACTGGCTGTGAACCCAAAGCAAACAGCTTTGGCAGGGGAAGATACGATCAGGCTGAGAGGCGACATTGTTTGGTATGTTTGTTTAGATGGATGGGAGGGTCCCATATAATAGTAATGGGGCCCATACCTATCCTATTTTGGGGATCTGCATAAGAATTAATATCTTCCCCAGAAACACTCCTGATTCTTAACGTCTACCCTCTCTTATACTTCTACTTCCAAACCAATTAATGCCATAAAAAAATCAGAAATAGTGCTTAACTATAATAATTTATGAAACCAGTCATTTCCTAGATAAATCAGGCTATTTAAAAGACTAACCATTCTATATGATTTGTTTTTCGTGATGAAAAAAACTACAGAACCAAAAGTTTTTTTGCCAGTGACTTGATCCATGATATAAGAAGATGACTCAGATGGACCAACTTCTTCCACCATTCTCTCTCTTTCCTCAACCTATGATATTACTACTAGTTGAGATCGTGACAAAGAAGAGAATATCAAAATCACCTAAGAAAAATCTTACTAATATTTCTTGACACATTAAAATGCTTGTGTAGCTAGTGAAGCAATAGGCAATTTTCCTATGTACTAAATGTACTAATGTAGAGTGGAACAGTTTCTTAATGCTTATTACTTTACAACAGAGAATATAATTGAGTCTCTCCACATTAACTCACTAATTTCAAAAGATCAAGATCAGAAAAAAATATTAATTAACATTTGCACTTTGAAAGAAAACTATATGACTATTCATTGATAAACATAGTCCTTCCCATTTGGTTAAAAACAAACCAGTGACAAGATGAACAATTCTAACTACTTTAAATAAGTAATATTTACTTCCTAATATACATTCCTAATATCAGTAACATTTAGTTCCTAATCTCACTGGATATTCCTTTGAAGGTTTAGAAATAAAAATAACACTAGGATGTTTCAAACATGGGGAAGTAAAATGTTGTCAAACAAATATTATTTCTTATGTAAGTGACCTATCTAATAAGACATTAAGAACCACATTCTAGCTTCTTCTTATGGTAATAACTATAAGGAATGAAAAGCAATGTTAAACCTATGATACAGGTATGAGACGCCTGTAAGAAAAGTATAAAAACTTAGAGAAATAGGCTACATACAAAACTGTAGAGACTTTTATATGCTATTTTCTGTATTCAGAGACAAATCAGAAGTTCCAGTGGTACACTTTCTTGAAATAGATCAAATATGAGAACTACATACAAGTTATTTATAGATATTAATTTCCTCGAAAGAAGATCTAATATGAAACATCTAGAGGCATAACAATTTAGTTTCTGCAAGATCTCAAAATGTCTTCTTACTCTGAAATTCTTATATGAAACAGACTAACACATGAGCTAGATACTTTAATACTTTTTGTGACAAGACAAGCAATAATTTAACATATTTATAACAGATTTTGAAATTCTGTACCTTCAACAGAGTATCAAACTTTCATCTGACTATAGTTTCTTCCTCTTAAAATATATAAATAACTTATTTATAGCACATTTATATCATTAAAATCATTACTAAAATACACCGGTAAAAGTAATCATGTTTGTTTTGTTTGTATGTATGTTATTTTCTGATTATAAAATCTATCTCTTCAAAGAAATAGCCACACATCAGGGTATTTCTCCTTCTATTTTTTTAAGCCAACACAAAACTGAGCTCATCCCTGACACATACAAAGTTTTAAATCCTGGGATTTTTAAAAGTGAAATATGTCTACATGTCTTTCTGACCAACATGCACTGTCAGAGGAGATGCAATTCATGGCCTGTGCCACCTGAGGGCACTCCTAAAATCTTTAAACAACTTTTAGAATCAAATTTTTATTTACTAGGAAGGAGACCTAGTACTACTTGGAGTTCAACGGTTCAGTAGTGACTTGAAAAACATGTTTCATAAAACATATATTTATAAAAAGATGATGATAAATAAGTGCAGTTCCTATCCACTGGCACCTTTCTGGGCCTCATGATGAAGAACAACTAAATACCTTAAATGAGAGGGTTAATTTACAAGACTAACTAAACTTAAAGGATTTTCCTTCCACATTATACGTTTATCATCAATATACGAAAGTTCGCATTTTAATAGAAAACAACAGAAGTTCGAGAATTACTTCAAATATATATAATTTAAAAACTGACAAAAAGATTTGCTTTAACATATAGTTGGCAGTTCAGTTCAAGAATACAAGAAAGCCTTTAGTCTTGTTTTATCTCTGGGGGGAAAAAAAGAAAAAGAACAGAAGTAAATCACAGGCACCTTACCTGTTTCCTGTGAATTTAACACTTCTAAGGCATGCATCATGGCACTTGCGAAGACATTGGCATCCTCTTTGCTGCCAAAGTTGAGACCATACACCTGTCTAGCATCTCGCCATTGGTGGAAGGTCTGTGTAGCTTGATTGTACTTCAACCCTTTAGGAATGGCACAATTTATCACCACCTAAAAGATAATAATTCTTTATAAGGACAAACCAATAATTGGCAAAATCACAGATGTCAACAAATGCTGATTGTATATAATCATTCAAACTTTTTCCTAATAGACCTTAGTAAAAATGATTAGAACAATTATCTAGGGTCAAATTAGTCTGCAGAAGTATCAACCTAATGGAAGTTAGCTGTCTGATGTTTACAAAGGTCTGCCTTAAAACAGCAAAACAAAAGAAAATCTATCTCCCTCATAAGATATATTTTGTTTGTTGAAGTATTACAAATAATAAAAGTATATAAAGCCTAAGTATGTATATCTAAGTGAACGCTCCATGTAGTCAATACCCTGATTAAGAAATCAAACATTGGCCGGGCTCTATGGCTCAGCCTGTAATCCCAGCACTTTGGAAGGCCGAGATGAGTAGACTGCCTTAGCCCATGGGTTCGAGACCAGACCAGGCAACCTGGCAAGACCTCACCTCTACATAAATAAAAAATTAGCCAGGCGTGGTAGCCTGCGCCTGTAGTTCCAGCTATTTGGAAGGCTGAGGCAGAAGGATCAGTGGAGCCCAGCGGGTCGATGCTGGGGAGGTCATGAACGTGCCACTGCACTCCAGCCTGGGAAACAGAGTGAGGTTCTAACTCAAAAAAAAAGAAAAAGTAAGTTAACGTCTACCACTGTGACTTCTGAATTAAACCTTGTGATCTCTGGTTCCAAAACAGCAGTGTAGAAACAAGCTGGCTTTATCTCCCCCATCCCATAAAACCAAAAACAAATATATAACACCAAAACTATCACCAGTAATATCCTCATGCTCAAATATGAGTAAGGGACAGTTCCTGGGGCCACAAAGAATTTTTAAAAATCTGAGCAGACTGTAAAAAAATTGGACCTCCATATCCACAATAGCCCTCTCCACAATATCCCTCCCCACAATCTGCCTGGCACCAAGCATATGAAAAATTTCCCCCCAACTCACAGCTTCTACACTGGAAAAAGTAACATCAAGGTGAAGAGCCAGCTTTCAAGCCATCTCAGGATCATGGCAAAAAAGACTTGTCCCTGCCTCAAACCACAGGAAGCATCAGGAATACTAGAAGAGGGAAATATTCCTGAGAACAGCAAGAGACAAAAAGGGGAGACAGAACCACCACCTCCAGACCTGACAACTCTGCTCTGTAACTTGGCCAAGGAGGCACCCAATCAGAGAGGCTGTTCAATAGATCCACACTGTAGGACGCCCTTCCACACATCCCCTGGGCACAAACCCCTGCCTAGCCTTCCCACACTACCAAGATATCCCCATTGGGGCCTCCCAATTTGGGATGGGTAGCATTCTGTTAACTAGAACCGAGGCAAACCTGGGTTTAATGTGCCATTTAAACTGAAAAAAAGACAGTGACCTAGCATGGAATAGAAAAAAATCAACAAGTAAATTAAAGAATCACTAAGTAAACATCCAATTAAAAAATAATTCAGATGAGAAGATTGGAATAAACAACTAATCCTAAAATGTACATCCACAAGAAACAACAGTAAACAGGGAATCATGACCTCCTCAAAAGTAAATAAAGAATCAGTGACTGACTCTAACAAGATGGCGATATGTAAACTTTCTCACCAAGAATTCAAGATATCAGTATTAAGGAAACGCAGTGATCTCCAAGATGACTCAGAAAAGCAACTCAAAAATTTATAGAGAAACGTAACAAAGAGATTGAAATGATGGGGGAGAATCAAATAGAATTTAAAAAAATACATTTGCTGAATTGAAAAATTCATTACAAACTCTCAACAGCAGAAATGGGTCAAGCAGAGGAAAGAATATAGTCAGAGGAGAAAAAAGAATGAGGTGAAACAAAGATCGCCTGTAAGACATAGTAAATTACCTTAAAAGGCCAAATCTAAGAATTACTGGTGTTCAAGAACGAGTTAAACAAGAGCAAGAATAGAAAACTTATTCAAAGGGCAACCCCTTTGGGTCTCCTCCCGCTTTGGGAGCTTTTCTGCCCTCTCAATAAATCCTGCTTTCTAAAAAAAAAAAAAAAAACCAAAAAACCATATTCAAAGAAATAATAAAACCTTCCAAAACATTAGCCATAAGTAGCTACACACAGGAACGTCAGAGAACACAGAACAGATATGACCCAAATAAGATTACTCCATGGCATATAATAATCAATTCCAAAAGGTCAAAGACAAAGACAAAGAAAGGATCCTAAAAGCAACAGAAGGAAAGAAGCAAGTAATATATAAAGGAGCTTTCATGGCCAGAAGACAATGAGTACTGAAAGAAAAAAAGTGCTATCCACAAATACTATATCTGGCAAAGCTATCCTTTAAATACAAAGGAGAGATAAAGTCTTTCCCAGAAAAATAAAAGCTGAGAGAATTCACCACTACTAGACCCATCTTATAAGAAATGCTAAAGGGAGTTCTTCAGTCAAAACATGTAAAAAATAAAAAAATTGTAGGTATAAAACTCACTGGTTAAAATTAAGTACACTGACAAACCCAGAATACTCTAATACTGTAACTGTGGTATGCAACTCACCTGTCATTCTAATACGAAGCCCAAAAGACAAATATGTCCAAAACAATGATGCCTACAGCAACCTTGTAAGACAAAGGTAATAATAAAAACATGTAAATGGAGACAACATAAAGTCAGAATGTGGGTGAGGTTAGAGTTAAATTATAGGTTTCTTTTTTTCATTTTTTTTCTCTGTGATCTAAGATAAGTTGTCTTTTTTTTTTTTTTTTTTTGAGTCAGGATCTCACTCTGATCCAGGCTGGAATACTCCCTCAACTGTTTAGGTTCATGTGATTCTCCCACCTCAGTCTCCAGAGTAGCTGAGATTTACAAGCATGCACCACCATGCCCAGCTAATCTTTTCCTCTATAGATGAGGTCTTGCTGCATTGCCTAAGCAAGTCTAGACTTCCTGGGTTCAAGCAATCCTCTTGTCTCAGCCTCCCAAAGTGCTGGAATTTCAGGCGTCAGTCACTGCTCCTAGCCTAGCTGTCATCTTTTTAAAATAACTTGTTATATCTATAAGATGGTTTTTGTAAGCCTCATGGTAACCACAACGCAAAAACCTATAATAGATTCACTAAAAATAAAAGCAATGAATTAAAACTACCAGAGAAAATCACTGAACCACAAAGGAAGACAGTAAGAAAGGAAGAGGGGAGTTACAAAACCAGAAACAAGCAACGAAATGGCAGTAGTGGGTCCTTATCAATGATAATAATGAATGTAAATGAACTCGATTCTCCAATTAAAAGACAGAGTGTCTGAACAGATAAAGAAACAAGACTCAACTATATGCTGTCTACAAGGAACTCCCTTCACCTGTAAGACACACATAGACTGAAACCGAAGGGGTGGAAAGATACCCATGCAGCTGGAAACCAAAAGAGCAGGAATAGTTTTATCAGTTAAGATAGACTAACAACAAAACACTGTAAAAAGAGACAAAGAAGGTCACTATATAATGATAAAGGGGTCAATTCAGCTACAAAAAAATAAAATACCTAAGAATCAATATATCCAAAGAAATAAAAAATCTATACATGAAATACTATAAAACACTGATTTAAAAAAATTGAAGAGGACACAAAAGATGAAACAATATTCTATCATCATGGATTGGAATAATTAATATTGTCAAAATGACAATACTTCCCAAAGCAACTTTCAGATTCAATGTAATCTCTATCAAAACACCATAACATTCTTCACAGAAACAGAAAAAAAAATCCTAAAATGTATATAGAATCATAAAAGACAAAGAATAGCCAAAGCAATCCTAAACAAAAAGAACAAAGCTAGAGGCATCACACTACCTGACTTCAAAATATACTACTGGATTGGTGCAGTGGCTCATATAATCCCAGAATTTTGGGAGGCTGAGGAGAGTAGACTGCTTGAGCCCAGGAGATCAAGATTACCCTGGGCAATTTAGTATGACCTCATCTCTACAAAAACAAAAACAAAAACAAAAATTCAGCCAGGCATGGTGATGCACACCTACAGTCCCAGCTACCCGGAAGGCTGAGGCAGGAGGACTGCTTGAGCCCAGGAGGTCAAGGCTGCTGTGAGCCACGATCGTGCCACTGCACTCCAGTCTGGGTGACAGAATGAGACCCCAATTCAAAAAAAAAAAACTATAGTAACCAAATCAAATGGTACTAGCCTAAAAACAGACACAGAGACCAATGGAACACAATAGAGAACCCAGATATAAATTCACACATTGACAGTCAACTCATTTTCAACAGAGGTGCCAAGAACATACAATGGGGAAAGGATAGTCTTTTCAATAAGTAGTAATGGGGAAGCTGGACAACCACATTAAGAATAAAACTAGATCTCTATATCTCACCATAAATAAAAACCAAATAAAAATGGATTAAAGACTTAAATCTAAAACCCAAAAACTATGAAATCAACAGAATAAAACACTGGGGAAGCACTCCAGGATGTTGGTCTGGGCAAAGATTTTTGTTTAAGACCTCAAAAGCATAGGCACACAAAATTAAAAATAGATAAATTACATCGCTAAAAATGTTCCTGAACAACAAAGGAAACAATCAGTGAAGTGAAATGACAAAATGGGAGAAAATATTCATGAACTATCCATTTGACAAGGGATTAATAACCAGAATATATAAGGAATTCAAAGAACTCAACAGCAAAACAAAAAAACAAAAAACAGAGAATCAAATTTGAAAATGGACAAAAGATCTTGAATAAACATTTCTTAAGAATACATACAAATGGCCAACTGGCATATGAGAAGTTATGCAATATTACTAATCATCAGAAAGATGCAAATCAAAACTACACGAGACATCATCTCAACCTGGTTAAAATGGCTTTATCAAAAATACTGGGAATAATAATGCTGGTGAAGAGGCACAGAAAGGGGAACCCTCATACACTTGGTGGGAGTGTAAATTAGTACAGCCACTGTAGAAAACTGTATGGAGGTTCCTCAAAAAACT